CATAAGCAAGACTTTCACTGGAAACTTGGATGATTTCATGTTCTAGCTTAAAACATTTAAAACCTGAAATAGTATAAATGTATCATAAATTAACGTCAAAATAAATCCCAACTAATTATATCACGATGCATATATAACTAGAATTTCTCTTTGTTGCTATTCATTTTTACCATCCTAATTCTCTCTCTTCTTCCCCTTACGTAAGTTAAGTTGTTCTTCCCCACTGTATTCAGGAAAATTAAGTTTAGACATAAATGGAAGCCAAAGGTTCATCTGTAGTATTCATTAAGCACTAAGTAGTCAAAGCAGCTATATAACTCTATTAACATTAAGTTTAAAAAAGTAATTACCTTACTTGTGGAAAATCCTGCCATTTTGCACCTGCAATTGAGTGCAAGCAAAATATGCAGTCCAGTAGAGTACCTAAGTTATTTTTTTGTTCATTCATATAGTCACACAATCTTAGCCTGAAAAAGAAAGAAAAAAAAAAAACCAACTAAAAACAACCCCAGAGATTTGTATTTTAAAAGCTGCTTCCCTTGCCAGGTGAACAAAAATTGCAAACGAACATTCACACTTTTTTTTCTCCCTCCTGGCACAGCACATGAGATCAGCTCACAAGGCTGCTGAACAGTTTCATAACGTGCAAGGGGTAACTTGGTCATCTCTAGAGAAACAAATATGAGTTGTCTAATCAGATGATCAAGTCTCAAAGCAAATGAGATCAACCACAGATATTGCAGATCTGCCAAAATCCCATCATTAAAATGCTGTTGAGAATGGAGAATGCTTTGGGCATACCTGCCACCTGGTGTTTGGAAAACAACCTTATGCCTGAAAACAACCTGAAATGCTCTTAAATCTGTATTCCCGTTAAGAAGCAAACAAACACTGATGTATTCAATATGGATTAAATGCATAAGCAGCAAAAGTGTGCTTAGGTTGGTGTTATTACCAGCATTCTTCTAGAAAGAAAAGGCACAGGGTGACTTGATGTTCCTTCCAGTCCCATCTCTACTAACCACAAAAATTCTCAAGTAAATCTTTGAATTAAGTGTATTTACACATCTCCTGTCAGATAATGGCATTTGTAAAACCTGCTGGGCGCAGCCTGGTACAGCTTCACAGTCTAACTGTAAACTACCATGTGCCAAACCCAAAGGCAAAGGAAAGTACTAAGTTATGAGATGGAGCGAGGTAAAAAAATTGGCGATAAATAGCGATAAATCATGCTGGGTGTTAAGTGAGTAAGCAGTCAGTGTCTGAAATTGCTGTGATGATTATTAAAGTGTCTTAGCTAAAATACTTAAAACCCTCAAGTCGTTACAGTGGAAGCAGCAATGACAGTAACTACCAGTTTTGCAGGTTTGACGCCCAAAGTAAGCACTCCTCATCAGTAAAATTGATAACAGTAAGCATATAAACTGAGAGAAACCATGTTTTATCTTTACCAACCAAAGGGTTACTTCAAGTGGAGCCTAAAGCTCCAGTGTAGGCAACTGGACAAATTACTGTGATATCAAACTGTACCTATAGCAAAATGATGGACTTTTTTTCCCCTCCTCTGCAAAGCAAATTTAAATACATTTGTGTTTCACAATGAGAACTCAGGATGAAACCACAGTCTAAAGTCAGTCTTGGCAATATAAATAGCTGGCATTTAAGTTAGCACCCCTGGCAAGCACAAACTGTAACTATTTGTCTGGAATCACATCTTCGTAGGGCTGCCAAAAACAAAGCGGAGCGTAGTGTTTGAGTTTTTCTTTTTCTTCAAGGCAGCGGAGGTCACATGCAGCTGTGTCCCCAGGTGCCCTACTCTGTTTCAGTTCTGGTAACTTTGAAAATGATGTGCACAAGGAGGTCAACGCTATATTGTACATTTACTGTGCACACGTGCTATCTCAGGTGCTTACATCAACAACTCCTAACGGCAGAACACATAGGTCCAAACGTATCGTATCAATTAATTGAGAACCATGCAGCTGCACGTCGAGAAGGTAGCTATAGGTTTACTTGTCAAATGCAGGAAGGTTGGGTCTTTTCACATTTATTTTCAAGCCAAAAACCTAAACCACTTAATTCTCATGAACTTTTCCCAGAGTTTAATTACTGCCTAATATAGGGCTCAATTGCTTTCTCAACATCTGAAGAAAGTAGTTTTTAATGAAAATACAGAACATAATAAGGAACTTTGTAATGCAGAAGATATTCTTCCTGCTTCCTATCAGCAGCAGCTGCTCAGCACAGACAGATGTTAGGACTATTTTCTTGCCTTAGTATTAATGGGGGAACCTAACAACTCTTGTATGATCTTTACAGAGAGCACAAGAGTGGAAGAAAAAAATACAAAAAGTTGAAAGAAAAACTGGGGAAAAAAACCTCAGGCTAACCACAAACAAAAATTACATCACTGGTCTAGCATGTTGATGGCTACTAACAGCGGAGCCAGGATCTTTGCTTCTGTAAAGTTCAATACTCGGCTGGTTATTGGTTGTTACTAAAAATGTAAGCAAAAAGAATACTTCAGGCTCCTACAAAAACATTGCATTCAAAAGGTACCACTCCATTCTTTTTTGTTCTGTTCAAGCCTGTTGCTGTAGTTCTGTTTGTAGTCACATCTCTTGCAGAACTTACTCAATATTCCGAGTTACTCTACATTAATATTAACTGACAAATATGAAGATAATAATGTTGCATAAATCCTAGTATCACAAAAACTCTGCTTTCCATTCCCATTTTTGTTTCAGCATGCAGAAGTGGATCTTAAAAAATCTCCTCTGGAAATGGAATAAATGTGCAAGAAGCTAAGAGAATATACTTGGAAGGACCCGTGTGAACCCTATTGTAGTTTTCCTTAAAAATCTGCTACTGATGATCATCAAAGATAAAAAAAGCAGCCAAATTAACACTTTGAATAATAAGGTATCATAAAAGAAAATTATATGGATTTTTTTCTTTTTAACTTTTCACTGAAAGGTGTTCTTTCAGCCTTAAAATCTGTAATATACTGTGGCCCATTGCAAGTCTCATTTTGAATGCACAGCTCTGGAAACAGCACATTCTGCTGTACTCAAATTACCTTAGACATTCTTCTTCAGCTACTGCTTAAAAGGCAATTGGCGACTGAATCAAGAAACCAAACGAGTTAGGTAGCCAGAAAAATTTGGATAGCCTGAAGTGCTAGGAAGGATCTGTGTGGGCACCACTGGTACAAGCTGTTCCTCAACCAATGTATATATGTAATACCATAAACTAAATATGCCGAATTTTAACAGTTATTTTTCTTAATGAAAACTTAAGTCTACATATCGAGTGTCGAAACTGTTCCAGTTCTAAATCTTTACCAAGCCACGGGAAAAGCGAATCATAAATTGTTTCAAATACGAAGAAATGCGTGCTTTGTTCTCAAAGCATTGATAGTACTATTTTCTATGGGAGAGGGGACGTGGGTTGTTTGATTCTCTATAGCAGAGTTTACTGCACCACAGTATTTTGAAACAGTAGAAAAGATGCCCCAGCCTTTTCAAAACCTGAGGTCACACCACCTCTGTCAGGCTTTTACCTCTACAAAAGAAAAAAAAAACAGAACGGAAGGTATTACAGGTAAAAGGTCATGTACTGATTTTTCAGGGGAAACACTTGATAGTTACTTAAGAATATATATTGGGTTTGCATGGCAAATTTTTGATAGCTGGGGGGGGCTACAGGGCGTCTGTGAGAAGCTGCTAGAAGCTTCCCCCATAGAGCCAATGCCAGTGGGCTCCAAGACGGACCCGCCGCTGGCCAGGGTTGAGCCCATCAGCGACAGTGGCAGCACCTCTGGGATAACATATTTAAGAAGGGGGGAAAAACTGCCATGGAACAAAAGACGAGAGAGAAGAGTGAGAGCATGTGAGAGCAACAACCCTGCAGACACCCAGGTCAGTGAAGGATGGGGAGGAGGCGCTCTGGGCTCTGGAGCAGATTCCCCTGCAGCCGAGGTGATGACCATGGTGAGGCAGGCTGTCCCCCTGCAGCCCACAGAGGTTAATGGTGAAGCAGATATCCACCTGCAGTCCACGGACCCCACACCAGAGCAGGTGGATGCCTGAAGGAGGCTGTGACCCCATGGGAAGCCCCTGCTGGAGCAGGCTCCTGGCAGGACCTGTGGCCCCATGCAGAGGAGCCCACGCTGGAGCAGGTTTGCTGGCAGGACTTGTGACCCCGTGGGGGACCCACGCTAGAGCAATCTGTTCCTGAAGGACTGAACCCCACGGAAGGGACCCACACTGGGACAGTTTCTGAAGAACTACATCCTGGAGAAGGTCATGGAGGACTGTCTCCTATGGGAGGGACTCCATGCTGGAGCAGGGGAAGAGCATGAGAAGGAGGAGCAGCAGAGACAACATGTGATGAACTGACCACAGTACAGTACAAATATTAAACAAACTTCTACAAAACAGGAGCGGAATAATTTCCTGCTTCTGAGCATAACTTGTATAATTGATGCATTTATATGTGTTAAATCAGACAGGCTAGAAACTCTTACCTGTAGATACAGAAGTTACTTAAAATCCTGTTTTCAGAAAGTTTTTTCGCTGTGCTGATAACAGACAGGCATGCAAAAAACACTGTAACCAGACTTAAGCAACTTGTGTATTTCAACCTCTGCCTTAAACCAGAGTATGCTATTTGCAGTTGTTCTTGAAGCCGACAACTGGACAGAGACAAAAATATTAAAATAAAAAACCCGCATATTTTATTTTCACCTTTAAGGATGCATCTCTAAACAATCAGTAGAAAAAAAACAAGTAAAAAAAAGTAAACACCAGCATTTTGTAAAATCACATTGAACTAATACAAAACTTAATACAAAGTTTTCCTGTACCACTCAAATGCAGTTTTTTATAGAAAAAAAAAAAAAAAAAAGAAAGTAGTCTGGTCACCAAGATCCCTTCTACTTGAAATCAATCGTTAAGTACCCAACAGATTTCAACTATAAAACAAGGATACATTCTTTCTTCTTTCTTCCATTTATGAAGTCAATTGCCACAGACTTCAATCATTTGCAAGTGAAATCCATATAGTCTGTTACAGAATTGAGGAGAACGCATACAATTCCATGATTGAAGTCCTTCCGTTTGCTGGATAGGCTCTTTACGAAGTCAACATTCGTCACATATCTTTAGACTGATCATCTTCTTCAAGCTTTCTGATTTCATTCTTTAAACAGTTGATGGTTTCACGACTTGCTTTTAGTCTTTCTTTAAGCTCAGCAATTTCAAAACTAGTTTTCTTTTTGGCAGCTTCCAGCTTTTCCCTGGTTTTCACTTCAAGATCTGCAACTGTGGTGGTGAGAAAGAAAAATAAATACTGTAAGTACCATGAAAAGTTGTAATTACTATTTTTTAATTGCAACAGTAATTTGGATGGTGTGTGTCCTGAAAATATCTATTACTGTTAGCCTTAGAGATTCAATGATTGTAGTCAAAATGGTATCCAAATAAAAACCTGGAATTAAAAAATAAAAATAATAAAAAAAAGAAAGCTTGTTTTGTGGCCTCGTTCAGCTCATCAGTTTTGTGGATGGAGTTCATAATTCACTAAATCATTTTCCAGACTTTTCTAAAGATTAAGCAGGGGGAAAATAACCCTGACATAGTGACAGCAAATAAATGGGAGATTACAGAGAATTACAAATAATTTATATGTGGTGCCCAGTGACAGCACATGAGGCCACGGGCACAAACCAAAACACAGGAGGTTCCCTCTGAACATCAAGAAACTTTTTTACTGTGAGGGTGACAGCGCACTGGCACAGGTTGCCCAGAGGTTGTGGAGTCCCCATCAACAGAGACATTCAGAAGCCATCTGGAGATGGTCCAGAGCAACCACCTCTCGGTGGCCCTTGCCTGAGCAGGGGGTGGGACAAGATAAGCTCCAGAGATGCCGCCACACCTCAACCATTCTGTGGTTCTTTTCCATGTATTGTAACTACTTTCTATTCTTCATCTCACTGGAGTTTAATTCTAAAAGAATCTAAAAGATTTAGCGGTGCTGCCTTTGCTCTTACTAATATCTGACATTGGGACATCTCTATCTCATTTATTGAGATGTCCTAATTATTATAACTTTTTTATTTGTTCACGAACAAGATTTTGGACAAAGCTGGTAAAGCCAACAAATCTATGGAGGCCATGGATATCCCTTCATATCCCATACATTACATAATTGTGGGGCAGCGGCAGTAAAATTTTAATTTTTATCTGCTTCAGTGGCACATTTTAAGGAAATATATATTTAAAAAAATGCCAAAAATTTCTATCTGCGCTCAGGAGAAACATCCAGGAATTTTGAGAAAAGGTTAAATTTGGACGAAACTTTTTTATGATTCAAATTATTAAACATTTTCTACACGTAAACTGTAACAACATGCAATATAACAAAAATCCAACTCAAGCCTAGCTAAACTGAGGCAGAAAATACAAGCAGCTCACATGTCCACACACCCCAAGAGACATAAGGCAAATCGAACCCTAACTTTGTAGAGCTTCAAATTCATAATCGTTCTTAGCTTGAGACATTCACTGTCTAAAAATACCTGGCATTTGTTGTCAGAGAAACATGCAGATAAGCCAAAGGCCAAGTGAGCCACACTACGATGGTGTAAGAGTTTGTAGCTAACAAGGTAGGATTTGGCCTCAATAAATATTACATTTGCTTTCTGAGAGTAGAAGATAAGAGATGGAATTCAGAAGATCAGAACAGAAACTATCACTGGATGCATTATATTTTATGAATCCATGTATTTTCATTTCATTTCTTTATTTCTCTTAATATTCTGGTTTATATTTAAGACAGATAAGATAAGGACGTAAAGAACATTAAGCGATACTGAAGAAGTACGTTATGAAATGACCTACAGTTAAAGAATTAGACAGAACGGAAAAAAGACAGGAAGAGATTTCGGACACTACTCTATCCCAAAAGGCCTGCTGCTTTGACTGAAACTTTACTAACCATTTTGTCTTTCAGTGCTTTAAGTGTGATCTTTGCTTGCAGTTAACATCCCGATGAGCTGAACAGAACTTTACCGCAAATACAGTGGCCTTAATTTATTCTGTTTTAACTCATTTCAAAGATGATAAAATACACATGGATCATACCACCGTTCTTCATACTAAGTAATTCACAATTCCTTTTTTTAATCAGTGGGCATACAGATCAAAAAATATTAAAAGTTTTCAAATAATGATTAGTGTCTTTGCAAAAGCTGAAGCTAATTTAATGCAAAAATACCAGTTTTTAGCAGCATCCAAATCCATTGTACTGTTACATCCCAGAAAAAAAATACTAAAAGCAAACACAACTATTGCTTATTTCTAAAATTAAAATATTTTAATTTTCAACTTACACTCTGTTTCATGCTTATAAGCACCTAGTGTTAGCTGACGAGACGTTGTTAACAGCTGCTGCATCATTGCAGTAGGATCTTGGAATATCTAATGAAGGAGAAAAATACATGGTATCACTAATACTTTTCAAAATAAAGGGAGGATTACATTAAAAATTTTCATACCATTTCATCATAGAATTCAGAAACTACAGTTTTCTTTCCCAGGATGGCATTGGTATCAGACTGAAAAAGCTTCAGCAAGTGATACAAGGTCACCTATGCAAAGACAGAATTTTATTAGCTTGACAACTGTGGGGAAAAATGAGTCTTCTAGATATCAACAAGCAGTATTTGTTCTTTCTAAATAACTGTACAGGATTTTAAAATCTTTTAGGAATGCAAAAATAAATGTCATATAACATCAGTAGAATTACTTAAATTTAATATTCAGTGTTAAACACACCAACTATCCAAAGGCTTCCTGATACTTTAAAAATGTCTAGGCAAGTGGTTTATACACTGCCTGGTGTATAAATAGTACTGAGAAAACCTTCTCGTAAACATTTCCAAATAGATGATTTAGTTCAAACCGACTTTGCCAATTAATCAGTTAGAAAGTGCTTTCTGTGACCTTATTATCCCTTCTTGTGAAGGAAAAACACCAGGGGGGCTTGCGAATAGCTTTTCACTGAAATTTCTCTCTGCAGAGTTACGCTTCCATTACTGCACTGCAAAATGGCAGGAGCTGGAGAGGAACAGAAGCCCTCTGCCCAGCCCTGAGGAACCGCAGACCACTTGGACCACAACCTGGGAAGGCTGACTTTAGGACAGCTTGGTCAGGCTGGGAACCACAAGTCAGGATGCCACTGAGCACAAGAGCACAGGAAGCCCTTTCTAGCCTAGTATCAATTTTCACATATTCAAGAAAAAGATAAAATTCAGTTTTCATCTCATTTGGCAAAAAAAAATGGCTAAAGCAAAAGGATCAGTGTAGTTCATGTGACAGAAGGAACTCAGTCTTAAAAGAAACAAACATCCCCTGCCCCTGAAAATACAGTAATTGAGTTTCCTACCAAAACCTGGATAAACAAACCTGCAAGATACATGTAAAACACTGGATAGGAAGAAATTCATTCCAATGCTTTATTCAACTAGAGAAGTGTCTTAACCTGGTTTTCTTCGGAAATAAACTAATCCTAGCATAGTACCTTTGCTGCTTTTTGACCGATTTTGATCAAACCTGATAGACAACAATAACAACAACAACAAAAAAGACAATTGAAATATTTTAAAATCCTGCAACGAGGAAGCCACATCGAAGAGAAACTCCTCAGTATGTGCTCAGCCCAGGTAAGATACAACATAGTGAGCAGGAAAATGTGGCCAACCATTAAATAAATTTCCTACAAGAACAGGCTTTATTAATTCCATGGCTGATGGGACTTATTTTCACCAGCAATATCCTACAGCACAGCTTGAGGCCACCGTAATTAATTAAGTGTTATTACAAGTTCAATGTACTTACAGGTCTTTCATTCGGATCAATGAAAAATATCTTAATGATTATTTCAAATTCCCCCCAGCCTGTTTCGGTGATTTCATATGGTGGTTTGGTAACAACTGCAGTAAGAAACACAAAGCTGTTAATATAGGTGATAAAGCCTCAGTGGAACTAATAAAAACCCCAGTTCTAGGAGTAAATGCCCAAATGCAAAACCCACCTCTTAAAGGATTACCGTAGCTTTCATGTAGCTTGAACTGAATTTTTTTCACGTAGGCAGACATATCCTAGAATAGAAATATCGTTACTTCTGATTATTTACACAGCACACCAAATTAGTGTTTATTCATCCGTCCCACGTGCCTATTATTTCTTCTGACATATCTACCTTTCAAAACCATAGGAAAGCAAAATGGCAAATCCAAGAATTAGTACTGCTGCACACATCTGTCAGTATTTTGTCCCCATGAACGCTCTGCGGTTTTCCCCAGCCTGGAAAGATCACTCCAAAAACACAGAAAGAAGTGTCTTCCCTCTCTCTTTTCCTTTTTTTGGGGGACCCACCAGCCTTCTCACCCTTTGCACAAACCCCAGCTTTTTGAAACCCTCGTTCCCCGTTGCAGGGTGCTGCTGGGCTCACCGCAGCGGGGCTGCTGGAGCTGCACACACACTCCCACACACCCCCCTCCACGCTGCCCTGCAGCCCCACGCGTGACACCAGCGGTGACGTCCTTCCACCGCCCATCACGAGGCCGCCACCACCTCTTTAACGCCCCACCTCGTTTCTGTACGGCTTGACGTACCCCGTCCACTGGTGCGTGTGACCGTCTTCTTCTCTCTTCTTCCCAAAATACCGCGCGACGTTCCCATACACGATCGGCTTCACGATGGTAACGCCCTCAAATAAAGAAATGAACAGACAGGTAAACAAACAAACAGAAAGAAACTCCAAAACCCACACGTTTTGACAAGTTGTCACCGGATGAAGCGGGTGCCTTGCAGAGGCCCCGCGGAGCAACTCCCGCTGTCCGCCGCGGCCACCGCTCCTCCTTCCTTCCCTCCCTCCCTC